CTTCGAAACAGTCGCGACGGAATCGACGAAAGTCAAGAAGCGTATATCTGATGGCGTGAAATAAATCATCGATAAAATTGTATCGTCGCGATTAAACTTTGATGACGATAAATCCCGACAAAAGAGCGTGCCCTATTAACACGTTGACTGTCACGGGAAGCACCAACGTTTTACGTATCACTTATTATCACTTTGTAGCGAAGGTAAGAAGGAACAATTATTAACTGTTTGCTGCCAGGATCCTTACGCTACACTGTTATCTAGTTATTCACGCTATTGAACATTTTTATTTGACGTTAGTTTCTTTTCATTTATCACGATTTTGCATTTAACACGTTCGCTACCAGCGCTTATTTCGGTGACGGTCTCATCAATTATAATATATTCGTCAATCCAATACATCTTCAAAACAAAATATTAGAAAAATGAAATTGAAACGAGTCACTGAGTTCCTAAATATAATGTCGTAGTTTATAATTTTTAATAAAAATATGTATAGGATTAATTTCACTTTCATTATGTAAAATATAGGATTACGGCCGTCACAAATATGTGACGCTGGTAGAGAACGTGTTAATGCATGCATAACTTATTACTGTTACTTAAATTAACTGCGTACCATTTAAAAAGAGATCCTTACTTCATTCTTTATATGCAAATAATACGTATATAATGTATTTTTATTTGACAATTCAGTAAAAGTACGATAATTAATTTCGAGAACAAGATCACTTCAAAGTGTAACGTATAAATTTCTCCAAAAAACGTTCAATCGACGTCGATTTGCAAATCTTCCTTAATGTCATATAATGAAGCAACTGTTCGGAAGAGTAATTAAATCACGGACGCGGGAACATTCCTCATTTAAGTTGTGGAAAGGAGATCTTTTTGTTGCCAATTGGCTTGACGGCGAAGCTTCATTAGACACCGTGAATGACATTTTCGCTGTGCGAGGAAAATGAGGTGTCAGGATTTCCGAGGCTCTGGTTAATCAATCATTCCCGCTTTGATGCGATAGCCAATGAGCAACGCACCAGTTGGATTACTTTTAAAGCGACATATTGTGTTACTGATGAATCATTTCTTCATTTTAACTATTTTTTTGTTCTTGCATTTAACCATCCCAAAAATCGAAACGCGTTTCATCTTATTACATTCATTATTGTTGCTTTTGTAATAGAATAATTAATCGGTTTTTATTCAAACTGAGACAATAAGTAAACACGATGTTTTTATGGTACAAAGGCTCTGGACGTAATGAGAATTACATTCATTTGTTTTATAAATATCGTCATGAAGATCCGTTTTTCTTTTTAATAGATTACAGTTTTATCCACAGAGCCGAGTCTAAAGATTTTCGATCAACTTTTAGTTGCTTGTGATTATTGTCGCAACGATAATTTTAAAAAACTCTTAATTAAGCATCTTACAGTTGATTGAACAATTTGTTCCATCATTGACGACACTTTCGATGAAATGTCAATGTAGTTTATTCATTACCGAACATTTTCTGAAATCGTGGAACATTTAATCCTTTGCATTTCTTACTGTCGAATTTTTACATAGCGGTATTGGGAAAGCATGATAGAAAGACGATTATAAGTGAAGTTAACGAAGTGTTTTTTTTTTCAAAGGTAAATATCTGTTTAGCTCGTAATCATAAATTGACTAATAAAGATCCGCATATATACAAAGATTCATTTTTCGGTGAATCGAAAGAAACATTCTTCGATATTTAATATCTTCATTATATAAACAGAATTTTGCTAATCAATATTCGTCAGCTTATTATAATAAGTAAACTGCACATTTTTCGCAAATGCAAACTGGTAAGGTCGTAATTAGAAAATTGAAATCACAACAGAAAAGGACTATATTTCGGACATTTCATATATTTTTTCGTATTGTTCATATTATGCATACAAATGCATAAACATTCGGAGCTTAATGATAAGCTATTATATCCAGAAATAATCGAAATTCTTATACAGAGAGTTTAAACGTTGCATGCTGCAACTCCTTCGTATGAAGTGTTGCAACATGTTTCAATCAACAGGACGGTTCACTGTCTTAGAAACCGACATTAATTTGAAGAGACGATCGTTACATTTGGACCTCGTTAAGGGACTGATTTACGGCTGTTCGTCTGTTGAAAGTTGAAAGCAGCTGAGAAAGTCTCTTTATCGTGTGCTACCGTCACAAAGAAGCTGAGAGAGAAACGTAAAGAGCACGAGAGAAAGAAAGAAAAGGAGGAAGAAATTATTGGTATAACGTTCATGAGATCGGACAATAAAGACTTCGTATTTATTACTACCAATGACATCGCAACGAGCGTGCAAAGCGTGTTGTTACCATCGAAACATCGCGCAACCACGATTCGACCGCACGCGATAGTAATGTGCGGCTTCTTCGATTTAAAATTCGCTGGTGTATGTATAACAAAAATACTTGAAGGTCATTGTCGAAGTCATCAACGGTTTAATTCATCTTAAATTTGTTGAATGGGTGACTAAATTTGTTTTCCATCTTCATCTTCATCTTTACTGCACTACGAAGTCTCATGATTTTTTAGACTAATACTATAATGCTACAAAATATAATTTTCGACTATAATGATCAAATTTTCTTTACTAACTTATTGTTCGTAAGATTGTCATACGTAAGACATAAGTTAATATATTTACATTCATGTTCTCAATCGTTTTGTCTATTTGAATTGAACTACGACAATGTAAAGTATTCGTTGAGAAATAAATACCCATATTGAGAAATGGAAAAATCGTTATACTCTAAAGTAGTCGTGGATATGGATGAATTCTTCGTTGTTCTTTAGTTAATTACTAACTCCTTGATAATTTGTTTCTTAACCATGATCTATACAACTACTTTATCGTTAATAATTGATTAGGAAATGCAAAATCGTTGATACTTATTCTACGTTTACATTTACTTCCAATGTTAACGACTGATAATAGAAAAGTAATAGTTAATTTATATTGGAAAAACATAAATAATATTTGGATTTCTTAAATTCAGTGTAAAACTTTCGTCACGAGCGTGACACGATATTGTAGGTAAAGGGATGAATGGTAAAGTTATCCTAGCGAACACAGTTACGAAAGAAATCGTAGGACAAGGGGTTAAACGTAGAACACATCAACATTCATTTTGCTAAACGTAAGGGAATGGGACTTGCGAATAGTGTGCTCACGATTCGCTATTTTCTGAAATTGTTTTCAAGGTACATCCAACTCCTCCGCCTTTCTCGTTCAATGTCGTGAACCGACCATGTTGGGCGTTATCAATGCGCTGAGTTCAATATGGCCACTTGTGTACCCGAACCAGTATTCCCACGCGAATGTCCTCCGAACCGTATCTGAAACCCCGACACAACGTGTTTCAGAAAATTTTTCTTTCAACAGAATACACGCGGGAATAATTTTGTGCGTGCGCGTCGTGACGTTGAAATTTTAAGGAAACATCTGCCATTCGCGTCGATAGGGTCGTTCTCAACGGCGAATGCAGCCTTACGTTCATTGAATTGGCCATTCTATGGGAAATGTGCAATTGTGTAACTGTGAATTGCATGAAGCTAATAATGCTAGATTACGTTAACACGTCGAATGCCGCACGATTTTGTAGAGCAAAATACAAAAAATCCAAGAAATATTATATCAAATCATTTGATTGAATTCCATTATTATTATTACACGAATCTCATCGCATTAGGTAACATTATTTATAATATACAGATGTTTACAAATGATCATCGTTTACTTGAGTGAACTATAGTAATCCAACTTGGTTGGGAGTCACCGGTGACTCAACGTGTTAAATCGTACTATCAAACACAATTACAATACTTATTATCACTGAATCTGCCATTACTTTTTTAGAGATTAAAGAACAAACACTAAATGAGAAGAGTATTAAGAGTTTCAATGTTTCTAAGAGAAAATGATTTGTAATGTTCATTTGAAATCCTAATAACTCTTCAAAGTACATTTGATTTCCGCCGCATATTTTAAATTGTTAACGATAATAATTCAAGGAGTACTAACATACGCTAATCATCTTGTTAATTGAATCTATTTAAAATTATTCGTCGTTAATCTACTTCACTACTACTTGAAATATAGGTATGAAATAAAAATAATTCGATTAAAATGTTACAGTTAAAATGCACGTTTAAAAGGTTAACGCGTAGCAGAATGTGTGGAAGACAATTTAAAACTGGGTGCCAGGTTGCATGCGTAAGGGTTAATTGGTTCAGGTTCGGCTTCTTTGTTTGCCGGTCGTTTTCCGTTCCTGGTACCTCTCGGCCACGAACGAAACGGCGCGCTTACAAGGAAAGTCAACGATCTCGTGATACGAGCCGCGTTGTTGAGTTCGTTGTTGCGACAGTAAACGTCGTGTCGCATTTCAACGAACATGACAGAGACACGGCGAGATGCAATTTTCTCGCGGGCCAACGATGACGAAGTGGTTCTGCCGTGCAAGATCGGCTACTCGACGCCCAATTACTGTACGATCTTTGCACGTCCGCGCACGATGATCGGTCCGTTTTCTCCTGTTTGCGTGATTTTTTGTTCCCTCGCGAGATCCTACGCCGTTAAGCAAAAAGGACGACACCGATGACGGCCATCGTATACGTCAGCAAATTGTCATTTCATTGTCGAGCAATCGTTTTATTTGAACTTCTTCGTTGTAACGCGATTCCCTCGGATCATATTGAATCGTTCATTTTGAAGCGGTAAAAGTCAATTTCCTGTTGTTTATTATATTATGTTTTTTGTCAACTTAAAATAATTTTGTCTTTCTGTCGATTAACATTGTTTTACGTTGTCAGCTGTTGTTGTGTAAAGTATAAGTACTTTTCATGGAATGGCAAATAAATGTTAAACAATTGCAAAATAAATTGCAAATATCTGCAACTATAAGCAGCTATTTCTATCTATTTGTTAATAACAACAGTAATATAAATAAAATTCATGTTGCAGGAGACGAGTTTGTACCAGTTCGGTTCCTAGTTCCTCCGTTCATCATCGCCAAAGTCGGCAACTTAGGTAATGTGATTTTCGAAATTAAACTGTTAAGCACTTTGTAACTGAGGTGATGATCAAACAGGCATAAATTATAATTATCATTATCATTATGATAATTATAATTTTACTGATTTAATACCTTGAATCACTTTTATTTACATAAGTATTTGCAATTTATTTATGACTGCGATTCTTAAGTAAAATATTCGTTCATGTATTATCCTTTTTAATTGAAAGCTTTGAAAGGTTGATTTTTAATAATTTTTTAAATAAATGCGGCTATAATTATTTCCACGCAATTCAATTTACTGTTTACTGCAATACCATGTAAAAAGATAACAATATTTCAGTATTAATAACAATAATCATAATATGATTGTTTCCTAGGTACTATAATTATTTTCATATTCAAACCGACGCGGCCTCCGGTATCATATGCTGTCCAGGATGGACACAGGCAACACAGTTGAGTTTTGGGTGTAATAAACGTAAGTTTTGTCCAACGATAAATATTCATGAAATCATCCCTTTATAATATTCAATGTTATTCACAAATGACGAAGAACAATATAACGTATGATAAGAATATAAAAGAATAGAAAAACAGATGTGAAATAATAATATCATAATTAGAATCCCAATTAATCTTACAACTTTTTTTCGTAAATTATATAAACTCTGTGTTGGTTGTTAATAACGTTAATGTTATGAAATAGTTAAATGATATCTGAACTTAATTACCTTTCAGCTATCTGCCCAGCTTCCTGTTTAAATGGGGGAATATGTACTTCGCCCGGCAGATGCACATGTCCCAAAGGATTTACTGGCAACCAGTGCCAGACAGGTAATGTCATGCATGAATGCAAATCGATTCTAAATCCTCGCCTCAAATGCTAATTGAATATTTCCATATAAAGTAACATTAAAGTACAGTAACAGGCAACCCTTAACACGCTTCCTATCTATTATCTACCGTTGAGTTATCATTATTTCATAGAAATAGAGAAAATGATGCAATCCAAGACACTGTTTCTCAGCCAATAATTTTCGGATTGAAAGGATTATAAGTCAAAACGTTGTCATGAAGCAGTACGAATCATTTTGACAGGGTTGAAGATGTTTTCTTTTAACTTCGTGCGATATCGAAACGAACCTGACTTCATTCAACCATCGATTGAAACTTGGTAAAAATCCTGATTTTTAAATCGGAATAAAATTCCCTTATCCCTTTCTTGTTAATCTCTTTATTTTTCCATTAATAATTTATTGAAAAGAAAAAGACACTCTAGGAATATTCTATCTATGTTTCTTTCAAAATGTAGTAATTGATAACAGACGAGTAATATTTAGATTTAATTCACAAGAATTGAGAAATATTTATATTTGTTAAATTCTATTTGAGACTTTCGCCACGAGTCTGACACGTTATTATAAAACAAAGGGTTAAACTTCAGAAACATGTTTGAAATATTCATATTGATACACTATCAGTTTATCTTGTTTACTATTATAACCATAGGGAAATGGCATCTAATATGAAGCACCATAATATTTCCAAAAATAAATAGCTCAATGTGTCAGTTACCATGGGAAACATTTCATTAGAAAATAATAGAAAATTTATTATACGTGTGAAATATTCAAAATAATTAGTTCATAATAATACAAGCAGTTCCTAATTAGTGGTACAGATACAGTAGGATAAAACCATTGTATACGATTTGATTTTGTAACATTACGTTCCTGTTAACCAGTCGTTCAACGGTATATCTTAGCGAAAGTACTGCATTTCGACATAAGTAGAAGTTAATGCTCGAATTGACACATGGTAGTCTCTGAAATCCTAAAACATTAGCGTTCGATATATCTAGACCAGGAGCACGTCCTACTATGCAAGATCGTTAGGCATAATTAAATCGATGCAGGCCGATACATGGCTCGATAGCATTAAATGAATAGCGAGCCGACAGGGCGTATTGTGGAGTCCCGCCTGACTGCTTTTGATAGATTTATGAGCGTTTTTATTATGCTTCGCGGACGTTCTAATTACGAGCTCCAAGTGGTTTATGTTGGTATGTAGGTTTAGACTCGATAAATGTAAACTTTTAACCGAAGAATTTCAACACTTCCTAGAGAGCTAACTTTCTGTAATTTAGCAACATGTATTTACATACATACACACATGCATATACACCAATCCCTCCATTTACGCAGACTTTTTTTTACACGGTAAATTATAACACCATTTAATGACATCAATTATGACAAATTATCTTTATTCGGATTTTCAAACTTTATTGCTTTGAAAATGATATATTCAACGATATAATTTTCTTTAAAAATCAAGTTTCCGCGTGTGGCATGAATTCTTTCTTCAATCTGTACGTACTAATGGAACTATTATCTTTTTAACCACATGAAAGTTGTTCTTTAATTTTCTTATTCCTTTCTATATCTGGATCTCTAATTTAATAAACGTAGAAATACGTTACAGTAACAGTTAACAGTAACAGTAACAATAATCATCATCCTCCAGACTCTTTCCTCGCTCGGGTGCCGACTAATTTAAATTTTTATAATATATTCATTGAAATCGTCAGTTCTTCAACAAGAAATTCACTGGATTAACGGAAACCAAACTGATTCCTGTTTCTGCAACACCTTTTCCTCGGGAACTAAAAGATATCATGATGGATCAGTCGCAGCTGCGATATTTATGCAATTAATTATCGATCAATTAACATAACTTGTCCACCAACGTTTCAGATATCGACGAGTGCGTGACTGAGAAGCCTTGCGATCAACTCTGCAGAAACCTACCTGGGAGCTACGAGTGCCACTGCAGACCCGGTTTCCAACTACAGAAAGATGGCCAATCCTGCCGAAAGAACGGTGAGTGGAAATTGAAAACAGATCAGCTCGATAAGAAACGATTTGTTTTTCGAGTTGTCTGGAAAGTGATTCAAGTTATCAGAACAACATGCATGGCACTACTTTTTAGTTCAAGTCCTTGATGCCTCACGTATACCCATACATTACAGTGGTAACGAACAACTTTTTGGCTGGCCTCCAGTTGCCAATGTCAACATCGTGATTTTTGTTTTCGATTCACCAAAAGTTGATTCGCCCACGATATTTTTATTGGACAAACAAACAGCGTTTCGCTGCGATTATTGACGTTGTTCTTGACCTCTAGCGCGATTTGCGTAGGTTTCGTTTCTATAAAGTAATTAAGGAAAGGATATACTGCTGGATTACTAATACACTTACGTGCGAAATTTCAATGTTTGTACACTTTAATTGTGATATGACTTCTCAATTTATTTTGAAATTCATTGCAATGCTGATTATTTAATAATATTATGAACACATTTTTGAAATGTTGATGGTTTTCAAGATTCATACTCAACTTTAATTTAATTTTGTGATTTTTTATACGGAATTATAATTTTTCCTTAGTACATCTCTTAGTATATTGTTAAATTTTAATTGATTATTAGTTTGTATAAAATGTTAATTTAAAACTGATACCAAATCAATCCTTTATGTAAAGTTATGAACATAAAGGGTCGTAACTTTATGTGAAAATGATACTTAAAATTCAACTAGAGTAAAAAAATTCATTTACTTAATTTAATTATGAAATTTGATCGCTTGTTGATTTGAATATAACTTTCATTTAAAATTAATTTTATTCGGAATTAAAAGATTATAGCTATTCTCAGAGGAATTATCACATCATACAAAAATGAAAATTACAATTTTTCATCGTGAATGTATCCTTGACTATTGAAATATTTCATGAATAATAAAAAAAAGTGTTTGCTTCCATATTTGTATGAACATTTTTTTCCAGACACTGATGACATCGCGTTTGAAGCCCGGGACCTAGAGGATGATTTTCATCAAATAACGACGACAAAGCGCCCGGTGACTTCACCGCACGGTAAGTAGATAGATGTAATTTATTATCTTGATATTTTCTTAGAATTTCACACGACTATATCAAATATTACTGTTTACAGATACGGAGAACGAGGTGGCTGACGGTGACCTCGATCAGGACTATGAGATAATTCTCAAAAGGCTCACAAAACTTGAAAAGGTAGAGTAGATAGTGACATTCTGCAGTTTTATTTGACTGTCAAAGTGAAAATACATACATTTTTTTTGAATTGTTTATCATTAGAAATGTATACAAAGCGTGTTTCACAAAGGAATTTGAAATCTTGTTATTATTATAGATTTAAATCTTGTCAAAATTTAGTGTTATACCTTCCTAAGTTACCATAACATTTTGTTAAATTAGATTATTATTGTAACAAAGAATTAAATATTAATGAAATATCTATTTCATTTTCTAGTTGTTCGCAAAAGGAAAAAAGAAAGATACCGATACCACTGAAATGAGTGCCAAAGTTGCGTCTGTAATGGAGAATATTAATGAGATGAAAAGAACCGTAGAAAATGTGGTAAGTACTATGTAAATTATTTAAGTATAATATTTGGATCTAATATGTTTAATTCGTTACCAATAACAACTAATATGAATACTCAATTGTATTCATTCAAAAATGTAATTGGTTTCAGCAACTGATGCAACAGGAAATATATGAAATGAGGAGCAAATTACGAGAATATGAATTGGAAACAAGAAAAATGCAACACTTGACAAATCGTGTAATAGAACTGGAAAATCGTTTAAGATTACGTTGTAGAAACACAATGCCAATAAATAGTGGCGCATTACATTTTTAGTAATTTGTACTGAACATGTATATCAAAAATATTGGGAATTGCCCACAGATTTAATATTTATGTAAGAAAATTTATATGAAAATAACACTGTCACTGCCATTTCTGTAGCTTTTATAACGTTGTATTAAATTTATTACACAACTGTGATTTAAATAACTTCCCTAATTATTTGTATCCAGCTTTGTAATAAAACAACAAGATTTGGATAATTTTTAATCACATATTTTTAGAGTGACATAAGAAATTTGATTTTTTACAATAACATTTATTTTTATACAATTACATGTAGAGTTGAATAAAAAGACATCAATTAGTATTACTAATATGATACAAAAGTTAATTCTGTTTTGTTGCCTTCTTCTGTCTTCTAGTTAATCTTTTCTTTGATTTCATACCACTTTTTTGTGACTTTGCTCTACCTTTTTTGAATTTAGCAATTTTTCTTCTGTTCATCCATACCGGATAATTTCCATATTGGTCACGCATTGTCCTTTTACTATATACCTTACCTTCCTTATCTACTTCCATATTTTCTGAGTTACCTCCTTCATTTTCTTTTGTTTTTGCAGTATCTTTTATAAACTTTGCGTCAACGACTATAAAACAAAAATAAAATATAAAAATATAAAATACACAATAAATCTAAAATGTCTAACAAAAAATATAAAATGAAATGAAAAATAAATCGTTAAAGAGCATGTCTCACCAGTTGCTATTTCTGATATCTCTTTCATTTCACTGTCCACTGAACCATTTTCTGTGATGCCTAATGTTTTTTTCAATCTCTCCAATTCCTTTGCTGCATAACGTTCTCTTTTAATTGCTCTACACTTCCTTCTCCATTTGCTTCGAATTGATTTTGCCATTCTATCGTTCTGTGTTCACAAATCCTGTAAATTTACCACATCTTTGAAAATTCCGTTAATTGTAAAGATACAGAAACTTATTTCTACTTAAAAATTATACTTCACACATTATTTATTGCAAATTTATATTAATAAATAAAATGAAATATTGCTATACATTTATCACCTTTTACATATAAATATTATATAAATTATTTAAAGTTACTCGAAGTAGATCATAACCTTAAAAATACACAAATTTTTAAATTCAGAAGTTGCGAACTTAATTACAAACTTCAAAAGATATAAAGTTATTACCTTAAATCGCCTTTCTTTTAAACGCTATTTGCACCAGATATCAGTCCTAATATTATATCATTCAATTGAAAATATAAAAGATCACGTGTTGTGAACGATGAATATTTTTGACAGTGTGAATCCTAACCTCTCATCTGTTTACTAACATACCCTAGGGACTTATTGAACATAAAGAAATTTTAAATTCAATCAGTGGTTTTAAATATAAAAATATATTTTAAATATATTTGTTATTAAATATATGTAGTTCAAATTAATCGAAACTGTTCATAATGTTGCTTCATAAAAATAGTTATTATTCTCCCTATAGTATTCCCTCGATGATCAAACTAGTAACTCTCTATTTTAAGTCTGTGCACTCATTTTTCATGTTGCAGTCTTGTACAATTCAGTAATTGATCGTTCGATGTGGATAGAGTCCGCTAGTGCATCGGAGTATTATTGACAGTGTCGGTATTTCAGAATATTAAAGAGAAAAATATATTGTATGCACAGTCTGTACGTATCTTGAATCTGTGGCAAGGTTGTGCTTACACTATAATGGTAATGTAGGGAGGAACATTACAACGGTGAAATGCTTTTTCATAAAATTTCGTATCTTAACTTCGGAATTGCCATAAATCCTTCTCGCAGACACGTTTCCAATGCAAAATAGAGTCACAGATAATATATTAATTGAGAAAGAACATAAAAGTTCCGAAATTACAGGGAATGACACTAAAATGATAAGACACTCTTTCACAAAATTTTACATTTTAACCTGCATATCGCCAAAAATCCATCTTGTAAGAATTATTTCTATCTCAAAAGGACCTTTATGCAAAATTTCAATTCAATCGCATTTATCAGGTTTTGCGGAAGTATAGAATGGAGAAGCAGGATAGAATGAGCATCCAGTGTAGGTAAGTAATATATTTTAGTGACTAGGTCGGAAGGTCACTTGTCTCCTGTTCTATTCTCGTGTCATTTACAATATTACCAACAGAGTCAAAATAAATATAAATAAATAAATAAAAAGCGTATTCTTTTTTATTTTTTTTTGACTTAGTATTAAATGTTTCTGTGTATTTGAAACTTCTTATTAACATTTACTTTCGCCATTATGTAATTTATATTTGAGACCATAGCGTGTGATCATTTAGCAAGTATCATACAAACATAATACTAAATTATAAGATGAATTTGAACTTCATTAGTATACTATTTTTATACTATTTATGGCTTCTCCTACATCACAATTTAATATTTTATATAACTTATAAATATATGGTTTTCTTATTTTATTTCTGACTCCTCCGATAGTAAGTAAAAGAATGTATGAATCAATTTATATTTTTTACGAATACTAATTATTATTATACAGTAGTCTTACAAGAGTTCATGTAGGAGTATTACATGAAATAAAAACAACAGTAAAATTAAATTTTAGTAGATTTCTCTTATTTGAAAGCTAAACTTCATTAGCAGTAACATTATAATTTTACTTTTCACACTCAACTTACGAGGATTATATAGTAGTTAGCCAACAATTATGAAAATTAATCGAAAGTGGAATAAATATAGTAAGAAGCTTGTTACACTCATTTGCACGATAATAAAATGCTATAATTTGTGTAATTTATTTCGTGAATCAACATTATAATTAATAGAATGTGTATCGCATAGACGAAGCATTTGGAAATGTTCTTTCCAAAAACAATCCATCCAAAAAAAATGATCAGAATTGTCATTACGCCTTCAACAAATTTCGTTTCTTGCTCATGATACGCGGCGTATGTAACTTTCGCGAGAATCCTTTCATTAGCTCATCCGGTTCAAAAACAATGCGAGAGTCAATTAAACTCGTTTAAGCTCTAGACCTGTATTATGTAAGATACGTCAAAGGGTGGTTGCTGTCATTGTCTTTCGTGAATAGTCCGAAGCGGTGATGAGTCATTTTTTAGGCGTTCATACACGCAGACGCGTTTGAAGGTTCCAGGATTTATGATTTTTGAATTTTCTAAACGCAGTTAAAGGTCCTGGCATACGCTCAAGGGTATAGAATACAATTCACAAATATTTTCGTTATAATCTCTTAAATTCTGATTGAACTATGTATATTTGTAGTATCCACATTTTCATTTTACGAGAAAACTATATAAAACTATATAACAGTATACACAGGTAAGATTTAGCTTTAAAAAATGTCGATTTTGATAAGTTGTTACGTTATCATTACTAGATGCCAAATTTATAAATTAAATATTACTGGTAATATTTATTGTGAAATATTGGCTAGTTAGAAACGTATAGAATTAATCTTATCATGAAAATCATTAAATAAGTAGTATTTTAATAATACCTGAGTACTCAACCATTTCTCCTCCTAGTTTCTTTATTCGTCTCATTGTTTTAAATGAAATATACTGTTCTTTAATATTTACCATGTACCTATAATTTTCGTGTTTCCATTATATTAATATTTGATAACTACATAGTTCTGAAAATTTTATTGTCGTCTTAAGCTGTACAGTTCTAAATTATAAAATTATCGACCTTCTTTTCTTCGACGTTGCATGTTTACGAAACTCTGTGAAAAAGATTCCGAACAACACGTTTAAATAGTGCTTCTAGATCAAAAGATCTCTCTGTCGAGAGCAACATTCCATCCAGAAGAGGTGGCTCTTCTGAATTTTTACCGATTCGACGCGCAACATGGAACGAGCCGCGAGACTAAACGGTTCCACTTCCAAATTGTCTTGCGAACGGGTATATAAACGTTGCACTTAACTCGTTTTTCTCGGCGTGCCAGCTTTGTCGCTGACATGTACAATTTTAACAACCGCTTCTGACGCGGTCTCTGTCACTTGCCGCGAATAATTAAGCAAAGCGTGGCAACGAGGGCCGCCGTTCAGCGGTGAAACACATTCTTCGCGACGTTGCGTCTGCTGTCAGAAGAAAACTGTTGAATTATAATAGGGCATTGTTCCGTATAAGAGTATTGCAGTAAGTTCCCTTTTTATACAGCGTGTTCTAATGTATTGTAATGTTATGGTAATACATTGCAACAGTATTAACACTGAATGATAAGGATATGACCTTTCACGAAGTTCAACTATTTCGCCTTGAAACGGAATGCATTCCACGTGTGGCAAATAGATAGTTGATCTTCGCAAATGTTTCTTTAATATTTCGACTACCACGTCACCTGCATTCGCGTGACACCATTTTTTAATATAAAATTAAACATTAATTGTCTTTGTAAGGTATCGAATGAATCGAACGAAGAGATTTGACTTTTTACTTTCTTCTTAACTATGAAAACTGTACACGAGTTTTGATGAGTGTTTACGCAGCAGTTGAAGTGTTAACATGAGTAATTACTATGTACATATAATTATCTACTTGTTTATTAACAAACAGACATATTATGAACGTGTATTTACTGACAGGTGTATATCTATCAAGCGATTAAAATTCCAATAATAACAATATCGTTACTGTTATTTGCACAGAGGCTTTGAATATGTACGAATGTTGCAGAAGAAATACGTCGTCAGCTGATTGTTCGTCACATTTTGACTCTCGAGTTTCTGCTCGTGGTTCTATTAGAGCAAAGTGCAATGGCCAAGCACATACTTGGTTAACCCGGTTTCAGTGTCATCGGTGTCATCGATGTGACAACTAGGCCGTCATGAACTGGAGTTCCGCTCATCATCACAACTGTCCTTATGTAAGTATCCATTTCATTGAAACACTTTCAATTTATCCGAACTTGCGTTTAACACCTCTTAGTGTTTAACATGTTTACGGCCAGCGTTGTTTCAGTAGCGATCTACATCGTTACAATATTTCATTAAACGCAAGAAATCGTCTTCATAAAATGCAAATAGAATTCAAAAGGAAATATCGTATCACCTTTCTACACGATATACCATGAGTTAAGATTTTAAATCCATACACAGGTGAGGGTAATCTAATTTTCTGTACGCAAGATGCAAAATGTTTAGCAGCACAAACATGTGACTCGTATCATACTGACATTCATCGAGACGTTGCTTTACACTGAAATTACTACTAACGGTTTGCAATGACTCTTGGTTTCGATCCTGTTCAACGCGACTACTTGATTACCTCAGTGAAACGAAAACGGTGGAACGGAACGGTCTTCGCTTTGTGCTTGACCAAGTAATAAGCTGCTTTCGTAGAAATCGTTTCCCACGACGGGGATCCGTTTTTCAAATTCACCCGCGTCAGTTATAGTGAAAACCGGTAGTTCTCGTCAACGATTGATTTACACGTTTTATGAAAGCAAACGTACACATTTGTCAGAAGTACCATTTTCCTCTATATTTCATTGCTTCCGCCTCAATCGGTTCCAAGAGTTTCAAATTTCACACGTGAAAGCAGAAGGTGAATTAACAAGTCTGATCTATTATATATTAATTCGAAAGTCTATCGTTCTCAGATTTCGGAAAATTTCATTTCCAAAAAAAACCTCGTATTTTTAAACTTCAAACATTATTAGTTACGTGCCCAGTACAATCATTGCAAACAATAATTCTAAAAACTCCAAGCGAAATGATGTAGTTTCATTGTAAACATTCAAACGTTAGACAATTTGTAAACTGAGCTACATGTGTTACGCTCCAATTTCTTCGAATGCTCTGCAATTTATTTCGACAACTACCAGACAAAATTGAATTGGAATCATCGGAGGATACCAAAACATTTAATTCCCTGGTACGATTCGCAGGTGTACCTTTCTTTTTCATTTCACATCGTCACCGTTCTACTTCGCTTATCAGCGCTGAATATCATTTCAGCGCGCGTATCAGAGTTTCTCTCGAAAGTGTGATAAACTTATGAAATTTATGCTAAGAAGAAAGTCAACGGTATCGTTTGAATAAATCTCCATTGGGTGCCTATCAATCTAGCGGTAGGTGTCATGTTCAACGGATATCTCCGCGCGATGCGAGGCATTAGCCGGATCGGTTATGCATACGTCGGACGTGACAAGAATGAGAATGCATGGTCGTGGACTGTTATAAACGCTAAAACGCGGAACAGTCTTTGCGGGTCCAATTTAGCGGCGAGAACATGTAATAGTGACTGAAACGACGAGATCGCCGAACGGTGGCCAATGTTCTGGCGTGAAATTGCAATAATTTAACCCATCCCTCCATTTACGCGAAGTATCCTTTCCATGAGGATTCGTTTATGCGAATGAGAATTGCGTAAATAGAGTCCGTCAGTTGCGAAAGAAAACGAAACATTGAAACAACGAAACATTACATAGCTTCACATTAACCGTCAAACGATCGGTTTTAACCCTTTACACTCGAAAGTTTGCCACTAGA